GCAAGATCCTGCAGGATCCTGCACCCAAACCAGGGCCAATGCGACCCTGGCTCCGCAGGATCCTGCAAGATCGGGTTCTCTGGCTGACCCCCGTTTGCATTGACCCCAGCCTCAAGGCTCCCGATCCCTTGCCTCGTCCTCCCCTCCAGGCCTGGGCGCCGGAGGAGCAAACGCCGCAGCGGGCGCCGCCGCGCCCGGCGCCGGCGCCCCAAGAGGGACGAGCAGCAGACCCCCCTGGAGCAGCGGTCGGAAGCTGGGCGAGGGCTGCCAAAACCGTGGCTGCCTAAAGCGGCCCTCCCGGAAGGAACAAAATTATTCACTGCGTGGAGCTTCCCATATGTGCATCTACTCGCATGGACCTGTCCGCCGTGAATGTCTAGGCGCAAGAGCTTTCGAATATTAACGGGCTTCAGTTGTGACGGTCTGGACATCAATCTAACTGCGAATGAATTGGAGTGTGAATGAGCCTCAGTAGTACGAGCGCGTCTCTGTGCATGAGCCTGGGGCCTCCTGGGGCCTCCTGAAACCTACTGGGGCTTCCTGGGGTCTCCAGGAGCCTCTTGGGACCTCCTGGGACCTCCTAGGAAGGTTTCGTGCCCCAGGAGAGGCGCAATCTATAGCAACAGACGTACATAAAACATTGCGGATTAGAGCCACAGGAGAAGGGCAATCTATAGGAACACGCGTAAAACACCAAGGACTCGTGCCCCAGGAGAGGCCCAATACATAGGAACATGAGTAAAACATTTAGGATTGTGTACACAGGAGAAGGACCATCTATAGAAACATACGTAGAACATCAAAGAATCGTGCTCCAGGTGAGGCCCAATCGATAGGAGCATACGTAAAACACATGGGATTGGAGCCACTCCTGTTGCCTTCTGAGGCCTCCTGCTCCTGGGGCTTCTCGGGGCCTCCTGTTGCCTTCCGAGGCCTCCTGACGCTTCCTGTTGCCTCCTGGGGCCTCCTGTGGTTTCCTGAGGCCTTCTGGAGCTTCCTGGGGCCTCCTGGAGCCTCTTGGGACATCCTGTGGCCTCTTGAGTCTTTCTGTGGCCTCCTGATGCCTCCTGGGACCTCATGTGGTCTCCTGGGGCCTCCTGGAGCCTGTTGGAGCCTCCTGTGGCATCCTGAGAAGAATCTGCGCCCACGAGCCTGGCCACCAAAACAAGCAAACCGATCGAGACATCCTCAAAATCTGGCCCACCTGGGGGGTGAAAATGAGCGCCTCGCTCGAGACATCCTCCAAATCTGCTCCGAAAGCGAAGGATGTTGGGCCCAGAAACAAGCAAACCGCCTGAGACATCCCCACAAAATGGCCGCGAACGAGCCCGTGCAACCACCCCTGGCGGCTCCCCTTAGGGGTGCTGAAACCAGCGCCCCGCCTGAGACATCCTCACAATCTGCTCTCCAAGCGAAGGATGTTGGGCCCAGAAACAAGCAAACCGCCTGAGACATCCCCACAAAATGGCCGCGAACGAGCCCGTGCAACCACCCCTGGCGGCTCCCCTCAGGGGTGCTGAAACCAGCGCCCCGCCTGAGACATCCTCACAATCTGCTCTCCAAGCGAAGGATGTTGGGCCCAGAAACAGGCAAACCGCCTGAGACATCCCCACAAAATGGCCGCGAACGAGCCCGTGCAACCACCCCTGGCGGCTCCCCTTAGGGGTGCTGAGTATGAGTAAGTCTGTGTATGAGTAAGTCTGTGTATGAGTAAGTCTGGGTATGAGTAGGTCTGTGTATGAGAAAGTCTGTGTATGTGTACGTCTGGGTATGAGTAAGTCTGAGTATGACTAATACTGTGTATGCGTAAGTCTGGGTATGAGTGAGTCTGTGTATGAGTACGTCTGGAGTAAGTCCGACAGGAGAAGAGGAGAAAAGAGGAGGAGGGAGGAGAAGGAGTAGGAGGCGTCCAAGTAATAACAAGAACCCCATCTTAGGATATGGGGAATAACTTCCAGGAAGGAGGCGCGGCACGCGACACATGCAGTCCACGGGCTTCTTCCCGGAAGGGCGAAGACAACTTCCCGGAGGTCGATTTTATAGGAGCCACGGATTTGACAGCCCCTGCCCGGCTTCCGAGGCAGGACGGGCGGCGCCGTGGCTTTCTTGCCGTCGCTCGGACGTCCATTTCCCGTGCATGTTTCGGTTTCGTGCGTTTTTTCCCCAACCATCCTGTGGTGTTGGGTCCTCGTTTTGAAGAGACAGCGCCCCGCGTTCACTCCTCCTCCTCCTCCTCCTCCTCGCCCCTCCTCGCCCCTCCTCGCCCCTCCTCGCCCCTCCTCCCCATCATCATCATCATCATCATCATCATCATCATCATCATCATCATCATCATCATCATCATCATCATCATCATCACCATCATCATCATCATCATCATCATCGTCATCATCATCATCACCATCATCATCATCACCATCGACGTCATCATCACGATCCTCATCCTCATCCTCATCCTCATCCTCATCCTCATCCTCATCCTCCTCCTCATCCTCATCCTCATCCTCATCATCATCCTCATCCTCATCCTCATCATCACCACCATCATCATCATCATCATCATCATCATCATCATCATCATCATCATCATCATCATCATCGCCATCACCGTCATGATCGTCATCATCACTCCTTTCGGTAAACCCCTCACACGTTTCGTGGCCCCATAGGGAGCTCAACCGATAGCTCCAGTGGGGGTGCCCGCATGCGCCCGCCACACCCAGCACAGCGTTTCGTGGCCCCATAGGGAGCTCCACCGAAGGCCCCAGTGGGGGTGCCCGCATGCGTCCGCCACACCCAGCACAGCGTTTCGTGGCCCCATAGGGAGCTCCACCGAAGGCCCCAATGGGGGTGCCCGCATGCGTCCGCCACACCCAGCACAGCGTTTCGTGGCCCCATGGGGAGCTCCACCGAAGGCCCCAATGGGGGTGCCCGCATGCGTCCGCCACACCCAGCATAGCGTTTCGTGGCCCCATAGGAGCTCCACCGAAGGCCCCAGTGGGGGTGCCCGCATGCGTCCGCCACACCCAGCACAGCGTTTCGTGGCCCCATAGGGAGCTCCACCGAAAGCTCCAGTGGGGGTGCCCGCATGCGTCCGCCACACCCAGCACAGCGTTTCGTGGCCCCATAGGGAGCTCCACCGAAGGCCCCAGTGGGGGTACCCGCATGCGTCCGCCACACCCAGCACAGAGTTTCGTGGCCCCATGGGGGGCTCCACCGAAGGCCCCAGTGGGGGTGCCCGCATGCGTCCGCCACACCCAGCTCAGCGTTTCGTGGCCCGATGGGGAACTCCACCGAAGGCCCCAGTGGGTGCCCGCATGCGTCCGCCACACCCAGCATAGCGTTTCGTGGCCCCATAGGGAGATCCACCGAAGGCCCCAGTGGGGGTGCCCGCATGCGTCCGCCACACCAAGCACAGCGTTTCGTGGCCCCATGGGGAGCTCCACCTAAGGTCCCAGTGGGGGTGCCCGCATGCGTCCGCTACACCCAGCTCAGCGCTTCGTGGCCCCATAATTAGGGGCTCCACCGAAGGCCCCAGTGGGGGGGCCCGCACGCGTCCGCCACACCCATTACGGCGCGCCCCTCACGCGTGTCGTGTCCCACCGATAACGGCACCCACAATGCGTTACTCACAACTGAATATGGTTGGGTCCTTCGCCAAGATAACTTTTTGGCTCGATGGTCCAGGATGGTCCTCGATGGTTCTCGCCGAGAAAAAAAAACACACACGTCCGAGCGCTGCCAAACTTTGTTGCGACGCTGGCTGGGCCCTCCGAGGAGTCTCTCGGCCCGCTCCCCCGGGGCCGGCCCGCAGGCCCTCGGGGAGCCCTATCCCGAGGCTTCCAGAGATGCTCGAGGGGAGCAGCGGCGGGAAGGACTGCGAAGTGTTTTTGCAGCCCTCGATCCCCGAGCCTGGCCACGACGATCGGGACCCCCTGCCCTCCGACGTCGTGATGTGTTCGTGGCGCGGGCCCCTGGGGATGGCTCGGTCCCTGGGTCTGTTCATGTTGATTCGTGCTTTCACTGCCTCGAGACCGGGAGACGGCCTCGAGAGACATGTTGCTCCCATCGTACTCAAGGACCACATCCCAGAAACAGTTTCGAGCACCCGGAAATCTACTCCCAGGGCCCAACACGCGAAAACCCTCCAGTCCTGATGCTCTCCTGGTGCTCGAACGTCTTTCTGGTGATCGAGGCTAAAGCAGATCGGACCATCACGACCCGAGAGGGCAGAAAGGTATCAGAGACTGGCCGCCGCGACTCTTGTTGGCGTCTCCTGGATCTCCAAGTCTGGGGCTACCCGCCCCCGGCGGGGATCGCGGCAGCCCCGCCCCGTCTCAGCTAGGGGGGCTACCCGCAGTATGAGCTCAGGAGCAGCTGCACGCACGCCGCGGGGCCACATGGAAAGGAACCATCCCGAGGGCCCGCTTCCCATTCGTTTCCCCCCTCCTCCCCGTTCGCCGCCCTCCCTCCCTCTCTCCGTCCTCCGCCCTCCTCCTCCTCCATCACCCCCTCTCCCGCTCCTCAGGCACTCCCTCTCCCTTTGCACCTCCTGCACCCCTCCTCCTCCTCCTCCCCTCCTCCCCTCCTACCCTCCTCCAGCTCATCCCTCCTCTTACCCCCTCTTCTTTCCGCTCCTCCTCGTCCTCCTCCCCTCTCCAGTCTCCCCCCAATCCACATCTCCATCCTCCCCGCTGCTCCCCTCTCTCCCTTCCTCTCTGCCTCCCCGTGGCCACCCTCCTAATCCTAATCTGATCATCCCGCCCCCTCCTCCCTCCCCCCACCCCCTCGCCTCTCCTCCTGTCCCCTCCTCCTGCCCCCTCCTGTCCCCCACCGGACAAAAAAAACAACTAAATGACTGCCCCCGGGGCCGTACCCCCCGCGCCGCCGGCGAGGACAACAGCGCGCCTCGAGAGGCGAAGCGAGCACGGCGGAGGCGGCGGTGGCGGCGGCGGCGACGAAGACGACGACGGCGACAGCGCCCGGCGGCGGCGAATTTCCGGCGGCGGTGTCCTCTCCGCGAGGGCCTGCAGGCCCTCCTCGAAGAGCTGTGGGCCTCGCGCGCGCGCGACGGTGACGCGCTCGAGCGGCTCGCGTGCCCCGTGCGGCGGGCGTCGCCTTCGCCGTCGCGTGCTCGCCTTCGCCGTCTGCCGCCGTCGCCGCCGCCGCCGTCGTCGTCGCCTTCGTCGTCGCTGTGCCTCGCGCGCGAAGGGGGCGCGCGCTCGAACGGCTCGTCGCACGTTCGCCGTCGCCGTTGCCGTCGCCGTCGCCGCCGCCGTCGTCGCCTTCGTCGTCGCACTCGTCGGGGCTGTCGTCGTCGATGACTTCGCTGTCTTCGTGGTGGCAGTGGTCGTCGTCGTGGTCGCGGTGGTGGTCGTCGACGTGCTCGTCGTCGTCCAGGTCCGCGTCGTCGTCGTCGTCGTCGCCGTCGTGGTCGTCGTTGTCTTCCTCCTTGACGCCGGCGCCAGCGTCGTCCGACATGCAGAGCTGCCTTCGGCCGCGGGGGTGCCTGGGAACCCAACCTCGACGACGACGACGACGAGGCAGAGGGGGGTTCGGAGGCGTGTGAAGGCGTCCTGGGGATCCGGAGGCTCTCAAGGAGAGGGAGGGGCACCGGGGGTGGTGGTGGTCCTCCCTCCTTCGCCTCTGGCCCACATCCACGCAAGAGTCGTTTCCAGGCACTTCCTGGGGCGCATCCTGGCCAGCTTTCCATGCTCAATTGGCTATTGACGGTCCCTGGTCGAGACGCCGACGAATCTTAAAGCCTACAGCTGAGCATTTTCTTCGGGTAGAGGGCTCAGGGTGAAATCGATATGGGCTTTTGCATCTCGAAAATCAACCCGTCTTGTGATTCACCTTTTGCAGATTCAAACATCGAAAATCCATCGAAACGGCATTTCAATTTTCACCATTTGCCCTCCACCACAGAAAATGCTCGATACAGCGAGACCCTAGGCCAGAAGAACATCCGTCAAGAACACGAGACCCTCCGCGGGCCAAAACGCACAGAACATCGAAGGGTACCCTCCCGAAGATGCACAAGAGCTTCCAATGAACCCCAAGAACATTAAGGTACCCTCCTCGAGCCGACCTCAACCTTACACCTAGGTCCGACTGCATTATAGCCTCAAAGACGGGGAAACAAAGGAAGGAAGACTACCAACATGCACTCGAAATCTGCTTCTGGAACCTCGCCCGCGTTCCATCCCTGAAGCTTGTCTTAGGTCGGGCCTGTCCCCCTACAGACCGATTTTGGAGGAAAAATGAAAAGTACTAGAACAAAAAACCCAACTGGACGAAAATAGTCAACAAAAATCTTCCCCCGATTATGTTTCGACTATCTTGGAATAGTCCCTATTTAGAGGGACATGCCCGACTTAAAGCTTGTCCGAGCCGCGGCGACGAGAACCCCCACAGACGCCCCAGCACGTGCGGAACGAAGACGCGTCGACGCCGATGCCGTCGCTAGTAGGATGGAGGAAGGGCAGCTCAGGGGCGTGCGGCCCGAGATCGGGGGTTGCGGTTGCTAGAAGTGCCGCCGGAGCAGGGTGCCCCCAAGATTTCTGTGAAGGTCCCCGCGGCTGCCGGAGCACCCCTCACGAGTCGGCGGTGGACACACCTCCCTTTGGTAAACCTCCCCTTAATGAAAACGGCCTGGGACCCAAACCCACGGACCTGGACCCGCAAAAATGACGGCCGCGACGCCCCCTCGCGAACCGAAAACGGCCAATTCCTCAATCGACGTGTCAGGGTAGGTCTGTCCACCCCCGAACGAGGCCCAGGAGGCCCCAGGGGCTCCAAAGTGGAGCGGCAAGCTGGGGAGCACCTCGAGCCAGGAGCACCTCCTGGTCCTCGCTCGGACGTCCACTTCCTGTGCTTTTTTCGGTTTCGTGCGTGGCTTTTTCGCGAAATGATCAAGGATGCTCCTCGATGGTCCTCGCCGAAGGAAAAATGCACACGTGCGAGCGATGCCAAGCCTCTGTCAACCCCCGACAGGCTGGGCCAGCCCTCGGCACCCTCGCCGCAGCGGCAGGCGGCGGCGTGGAGGGCGGCGGAGGCCCTGCGATGGAGCCTGTTCGTGCTCCTCGTCCTCGTCGTCGTGACCCTCCTCGTCCTCCTTGTTTCTCCCCGCTCCCTCTTCGTCCCACAACGCCTCGCTCCTCATTCCTTCCTCGCCCTTCCCTCCTCCGCCTCCTGCATCGTTTGGCGCATCGATGAGCCCTCGTCGTCTGACCACGAGACGTATCGACAGGTCGGGCTTTGGCGCTTCGCTTGAGACATCCTCCCTGCTTACGACCCCGAAGCTTGACACTTCCAGCACTCGGACAAATTGAAAGGGTGGTCTTCAACAGGAGGTTCTGGCACCAGCGCCACGACCAGCGTTCGTTTCACAAGTATCCAACAGCTACACGAACGGAGGGGGGCTGCTTTCAACATGCACCATGGCGCCTTTCTGGCTTGTGCGGTTCGGCTGGCCCGCCAGTAGCAAGAACACTTCGAGGGTCTGACCCGGTCAGCACGACGATCACGTGTTCCACTACTTAACGCGGGATCGGCAGAGTGCCGCGGAACGAGCGTCGGATGCGGCCACCGCAAGCAGCAAGCAACACATCAGCGGCAGCACAATCAGCGAGGGCACGCATACGAGTACTAACATGAGTAGGGGAAGAGATCAAGCTCGCCCCGTCGAACGGGTCAGATGGAAGCCCGCCTATCCCCACTCTCCCTCCCATACGACACTAGAACCATCGCGCGCGCTTCGCGCGCGCTCAAGTTCTAGCGAGCTTATTGGGGCCTCCTCGGAGCATCCTGGACTGCTTCTTGAAATCGTCATGGGACCTTCTTGGTATGTCTTCGGGGGCCTCTTAGAAAGAATGTTGAAGCCTTTTGGGTGCCGTCTTGGGGCCTCTTGGATCTTGGTGGCCTCTTGGGGCCTCTTGGGGGCCTCTTGGGGCCTCTTGAGGGCTTCCTGGGGGCATCTTGGGGGCACCTTGGGGCGGAGAGATCTTTTTTCAGTTCGCGTTCCCTCTCTTGGGCCCCTCTTGGGTCTTCTTAGGACCCTCTTGCGCCGTCTTGGCTGGGGCCGTCTCGGGGATCTCTTTGGCCGTCCTGGGGCCCTCTTTGGGGCCTCTTGGGCCGTCTTGGAGCGATTTTGGGGACCTCTGATGTCGTCAAGAACGGTACGACAGCGAAACTAATCAATATGCTAAACAAGTACGTTTTGCGAAGGGAATGGGGCAATTTTTGTCTCTTGGGGACGTCCTGGGGGGCCTCTCGGGGGCTTCTTAGAGCGTCTGTGAAGTCTTTGGAGGTGTCTTGGGGGCCATCCTGGGCATCTTGGAGCGACCTTTGGGTGTCTTGGGTCCGTCTTGGGGCGCCTTCGGGTTCTCTTGGCGCGTTCCCGGGGCGTCTTGAGGGCCTCAGGGACGCCCCAAGAGCCTGGGCACACACATTCGTGGTCGTGGTCGCGGCCCCGGGCCCCCGGACCCGGTGCGCCGCTATGTGTAAAAACATCAAATTTGGCATAACCTGGTATTGGGGGAAGGATTGCAAAAAACCCGAAGGATTGCAAAAAACGAAGGATTGCAAAAAACCAAGGGTTTTTTGCAATCCTTCGATCAAATTTGGCATAACCTGGTATTGGGGTTGGACCGCGCTCCCACATAGCGAGCGGAAGGCGCTCGCGCGCGGGCCGCGCAGAGGCGGGGCTGGCAAAACTTCGGATGGGCGCGGCGTAGACGAAGCAAGCGCCGCGCCGAGACGGCACTGCCACGTCCAATCACAAAGCGCGCGACGCGTCGGCGGAGTCGTCCAGTCGCCCGCTCCGACGCGGCAGTGCCGCGGCTGTCGATGCCATGCGACTCGGCGGACGAGCCCTGCGCAGCGCCCGCGCGGACCCCCGACGTCATGATTTTTTCAGGACGTCGACTCCCCGAGGTCTCGACCCATTCCCCGGGACCGGCTTTTCGTCCCGAGTCGTTTTTTGACGGTCCCGAGGGGCCGGTAAGGGCCCCCAAAGGCCAAACATCAGGGGAAACCTCCCGCACTTCGAAGCGAAATGCGCACGGAGCTTCGGCGAGGGCGTCAGATCGCCCGCCGGGGGCGGGGGGGGGGGGATAGGCGCCGGGCCGAGGCTGGAGGGCCACTTTCAGGCGATGCACTGCACGGCGCCGAGGCGGAAGCGACAGGTCCGTCCAGTCGCGCGTCGACGAACCGGCGTGCGAAGAGTGTGCGACGCGCCAGGGCGAGGGCGACATTTCGGCGCTTCGCGCGGGATGCGCGCCCCACCCCATTCCTGCCATGTATTTTGCCACCAGATCAACAAAACGTCCAGGGTGAGACAAACATGCAAACACATCATTGGTATTGACAAGTGGGATGGGAGGTCCTGGATCTGGCGGCTATCAGCTGGGTAGGTGGCAGATTAGAAGTGGCGGGATGGGCCGAAGGCCATTCGATAGGATGACTACTTACGTACCGGGCTGGTAACTAAAAACTAGTTGCAGCAATACAAATGCTGCCACCAGTGATGGATTGGCATGCGCGCGCCACAGCCACGCACACGCGCGAGCGCGCTCACGCCATTATGTGGTGCGCGAGAACACGGCGCACTTCACACTGTCTTGAATGTCACCCCAACCCTCCCCCTCCTCAACTCATTTTTCCGCATCGCCGAGCCCGTCATAGACACGACAGGCTGCCACCGACCTTATCCTCCTCCTCCCTTCCCTTTACAAAAAAACCTCTTGTAGGAGCGACGACGACAACCACGCCCACGACGGCGGCGACTGCGACAGCAACCGAGACGATGCCGATGATGGCGGCGGCGGAGACGACGTCGCCGGCGACCGTCACGAACAACGACGACGAACAACGACAGGGAGCACCGAGACAGCGGCGGCGGTGACGACACCAACGACCACGACGACGGCGGCGAGTGAAACTGCGGCAACGCTGGCAACGACACGAAGACGACGACAACGACGACACCGACGACGACGACGACGACGAAGACGACGACCGGCAGCGACGGTGGCGGCGGCAGCGACGGCGGCGGCGGCTGTCCGACGCGCGGCAGGGTGGCAGACCTATGCGGCGGTTGCCCTCCGGCAGGAGGTCTCGGAAGACCGACTCCTCCGGAGGGTGGCCAGGTGGGGGGCGGGCAGAGCGCGCTGCCGCCGTCGTGAACGTCGACGCTGCCGTCGGCGGCGGCGGCGCCGCCGCAAACGTCGCCGGCCGTCGTCGTCGTCGTCGGCGTCGTCGTCATCGTCGTCGTCTCGGTCGTCGACGACGTCATGGTCAACGCCGTTGTCGTCGTCGTTCTCGTCGTCAGCATTGTCGCCATTGTCAGCGTCGTCGTCTTGGTCGTCGGCGACGACATCGTCAACGCTGTCGCCGTCGCCGTCGCCGTCGTCGTCGTCGTCGTCGCCAACGTCGTCGCCATTGTCAGCGTCGTCGATGACGGGCGGTTCGGAAGCCGAGCGCGACGGGCACCAAAGACGATGGCGGCGTGTCGTCAGCATTGAAGTCGTCAGCGCTGTCGTCGGCGGCAGTGAAGACGGGGAGCATACCACTGCCACGACGCCGCCATGATGGGAACGCATGTTTGATCTGTTCCCGCAGTGACGACGGTCCCGAAGATGGGTGTCAAAGGAACGTCAAGGGCTCCGAGGTGGCATGGCAAAGCGCGGGAGGCAACGTCGAACGCGGAGAGGATACCGCCGCCACGTCGCCCCCATTATCAGGACGCACACTGCCCAAACTCTCAGGCGTCGGGCAAACAACACATGTGCTTTGTGAATTCTACCTCCAAGGGCTGTTCTCGGGCCCCAAGATAACGTAACAAGGCCAAACAAAGGTGATCATGATGGATGGAGGCGGGGGGAGGAAGAAAGAGCGGATGGAAGGCAGAGGATGGGTAGGGAGAATGAGAAGGGAGGAGGAAAGACGAGGTCCCAGACCCCAACATGACCCACATCTCGCCCCCCCCCCGCACAAACTCCTCCATCTTCCCCTCCACCCCTTCCTACGCGGCATCCTCCTGAACGAGCGCTCGGCGCTACCGTTATCCATCCTCCTCCTGCTCCTGGCGGGGGGCGACGACGACGATGACGACGACAACCGCAGCGACGACAATCACGCCCACGACCACGATGCCATCGACTGACCCCAAGACGGCGCCGAAGACGACGCTGAGCTCGACCACGACGCCGACCACGAAGGCGCTGACCGCGACGACGACTTTGGAGTCCCGAACCGGTGCGGTGACAGAACGTGTGGTGACCTCGAAATCCCCCAAGACCTCACCGCACCGTCAGTCACCGCACGGTCTTGGGACCTCAGAGGCCCCAGTCGCCCGAGACGTCCTCGGAGAACGACCAGAGTCCCAAAACCGTGCGGGGACCCCGAATCCCCACCGACTCACCGCACGGTGTGGTCACCGCACCGTTTGCAAGGGCTCCCCACTTCGCGCTCCGCGCCGTGCGAAGCGCGAAGTGCGAACAACTTCGCGCTCTCGCGCCGCCCCCCCGGGGAAAAGAGAACGAGGGGGAATCGGAGCCGAACCGCGAAGCGCGAAGTGCGAACAACTTCGCGCTTTCGCGCCGCCCCCCAGGGGAAAAGAGAACGAGGGGGAAAATCGGAGCCGGACCGCGAAGCGCGAAGCGCGAACGACTTCGCGCCCGCCCTTGATTCAAGGGGCCCCCCGAGACGACGCTGACCGCCACGCCGACGACGTCCCACGGCGCCCCCGCCGGCGGCGGCGATGTGGCCGCGGCGCCCACGGCGGCGGCGAGACCCGCGGACACGCCGGGAGCGGCGGCGGAGGCCCCGGCGCTCCGCGTCGGCGTCGGAGAAGCTCTCGTCGATGAGGTGGCAGTCCTGCGCGGGCTGCGCCGGGGCGCTCCCGTTCTGTCGGGCCTGTCCCCCTACAGGGGGATTTTGGACGAACAAACCCGACTATTTTTTGTTTTTTTTACTATTTTTGAAGATTCCCCCTGTAGAGGGACAGGCCCGACTCAAAGCTCCCGGCCCGTCGTTCCGGCCCGTCCTTTCTGAAGGGGCCCTGGGACACAAAAATAGATACACACAAATAAGCGGATTCCCCATATTTTCGGGGTTGTTGTCTTCCCCCCCACTCCCCATATTTTCCCATACCTATACGACCACCATTCGGGTGATAAGGAGGTTCGGGGGGGAGGAACCAACGTCTCACTCGATCTGACTCACTATCGATCTCACTATCGATCTCAGGATCGGTTTCGCTCGATCGATCTCACTCGATGGATCTCACAATCGATCTCACTCGATCTATTTCATTCGATCGATCTCACAATCGATCTGTCAATCGATCTCACAATCGATCTCACAATCGATCTCACAATCGAACTCACATTCGGTCTCACAGTCGGTCTCACAATCGATATCACAATCGATCTCACAATCACCGTCATCATCATCAACATCATCGTCATCAACGTCATCATGATCATCATCATCGAGGCATAATCATGATCATCATCACCTCATCACCATCATAATCAACATCATCATCATCACCATCACCGTCATCATCATTGGGGCACCATCATCGTCACCACCATCATCATCAACATCATCATCATCGGGACACCATCATCATCATCAGAACACCACCATCATCATCAACATCGTCAACATCATCATCATCGGGACACCATCATCATCACCACCATCACCATCGTCATCATCAACATCAACATCAACATCAACATCAACATCAACATCAACATCAACCCCACCACCACCACCACCATCACCATCACCATCACCATCACCATCACCATCACCATCACCATCACCATCACCATCACCATCACCATCACCATCACCATCACCAACACCATCACCATCACCATCACCATCACCATCACCATCATCATCATCATCATCATCATCATCATCATCATCATCATCATCATCATCATCATCATCATCATCATCATCATCATCATCATCATCATCGGGACACCGACGGGACACCAGCGGGACACCGGCGGGACACCGCGCGGCACCGGCCCCCGGAAAGGAAACATTTGGTCCGGCCGCGCCTCAGCTGGAGGCGGGACACCGGCGGGACACCGCGCGGCACCGGCCCCCGGAAAAGAAACATGTGGTCCTGCCGCGCCTCAGCCGGAGGAGAGTTTCTTCTTGCCCGCCGACGCAGCTTCGCCTCGCCCGCACGCACGGCACGCACGAACACGAAACTGAAACCGATTTCCCCGTAGGGGGGCTCTCCGTTCCACTTCGATCTCACCCCCTCACCTCCGATCTTTGGGGGAATCGACGATTCATTGTCTCTGTGTTTTTTCCCCTCCTGAGTTTCACAGGTGCCGCCGTCCACGGAGTGGTGTTTTGGCACGGTGTGCGAGTGTCAGGGCGCGACGGTCACGCGGATTCGCGTGATTGAAGCTTCAGGAGCGGGATTCTGGCACGATCTAGGGTTCGCAGGAGGCAAATGTGACGTCGAACCGCGGAGTTGAAGTGCTGGCACGATTGAAGACTCTCAGGGCGATTGTCTTTCGGCGGGGCACTTCTCGCAATGACGATAAACTCGTGTAGGGACCTGTAAAGAGGGAACTTGAAGGGAGGGTTTATTGCAACATCGTCGAGGCTTCTTGGGCTTGCACTGGGGCTCCTCCTCCTCCTCCTCCTCCTCCTCCTCCTCCTCCTATCCATGGAGCGCATCGGCCCCGTGCGCGCTGGCCGCGAGCCTCAGGGCTACTGGCTGCTCAGCCTGCGTCTGGCTGGTCGTCGTCCACATGCTCGTACCTATGTCTTACTTGCTCCTCGTCGATAACCCCCCAATGAACGAGGAAAAGCGACACCACCACCACCACCACCAGAGACCGCCAACGGGAGGAACCATGGGGGCGTCCTGGTGGTATGGCCCGCCCCCCTCGCTCGAGACGTCCCCTACGGCGTCCCTGCGGTGGCAGTGGTAGTGCCGCTTCTCCATCTCACGGCCCCCTGCCACGCACTCAGCCAGAAAGGTGGTCGGGGATCTACTGGCCCGGGCTCGGCAGGATCCTGCATGCCATCACCCCTGTCAGTGCAACCCTGGCTCTGCAGAATTCTGCAAGTTCGGGCGCTCTGGCTGACCCCCCTTTGCATGGACCCCCCGCCTCAAGGCTCCCGAGGTGGGGGGAGGAGGAGGAGGAAGACGAGGAGGAGGAGGAGAAGGAGGAGAAGGAGGAGGAGGAGGAGGAAGAGGAGGAGGAAGATGAGGAGGAAGACGAGGAGGAGGAGGAGGAGGAGGAAGACGAGGAGGAAGACAAGGAGGAAGAAGAGGAAGATGAAGAGGAGGACGAGGAAGAGGAGGAGGAGGAGGAGGAGCAAGAGGAGGAGGAGGAGGAAGACGAGGAGGAGATGAGGAGGAAGACGAAGAGGAGGAGGAGGACGAGACGAGGAGGAGAGGAGGAGGGGGAGGACGAACGGGAGGGGAGGAGAGGAGGGAAGAGGAAGGAGGGAGAGGGAGGAGGAGGAGGAGGAGGAAGGAGGGGGAGGGGGAGAGGAGGAGGAGGAGGAGGAGGAGGAGGAGGAGGAGGAGGAGGGCAGCCTTGCCCTCCGGCGCCCCGCTGCCCCGCCCTGCCAGGGCCGAGCCCGGCCGCTGCCGGGGCCGCGATCGCAGGGCGCGGCCAGGGAGCCCTGCTCGGGCCGCCCGCCGGCTCGGGGACGAGCTCGGGGCAACCCCTCCTCCTCCACCTCCTCCTCCTCCCCTCCTCCTCCTCCTCTACCTCCTCCTCCTCCTCCTCCTCCTCCTCCTCCTCCTCCGGACGAGCTCGGGGACGAGCTCGGGCCGCCCGCCAGCTCGGGGACGAGCTCGGGTGACGTTGTTCCCATACGTAAATGTTCTAAGAACATTTCGTGGAATCCACACAAGGTTCTTAGAACATTGTTTGGCAGGGCTGTAGGCGAGTCAGGACGCTTCGCCACTGCTTGAGAGACACGGGCCCCCGACCTCTCGACCACTTCCCAAGGAACAGCCCTTCACGGCACGCCGTGTTTTGACGGCCCCGTGGCCCTGCAAGGGCCCCGAGATGCCGAACGCTGTGAAGAACCCCCATCTCTCGATTTATGTTGCTCCCATCCTACTTAAGGACCGCATCCCAGAACTAATTTCGAGCACCCATGAAAGTGTCAAAAGAGTGTCGAAACAGTGTCGGGCGAGTGTCTCCCAGGGCCCGACACGTGACAACCCTTGAGTTTCGGTACTTGTTTTAGCCGCTCGAAATTCTTCCTGGCTGGAGCACCATAACCCTCGGGCCAACTTCGGTCAAGGGGCCCAAGGACACGCAAATAAGTGCACGCAAATCACGGGATCCCCATATCTTTCGATATTTTCTGGATTTTCGCCTTCCCCGCTCCACTTCACCACATTTTCCCATACTTTCCTGGGGGTCGACGATGAATTGTGTCTGTTTTTTTTTTCTCCCCTCCTGACCAACCTCGGCCAGTCCCCGGCCCAACTGGGTCCACCCTCGGGCGGGTGGTAATGGGGGGTTCGGGGGTGGACAGAACCCCCCATGTCCCTCCTCCTCCTCCTCCTCCTCCTCCTCCTCCTCCTCCTCCTCCTCCCCATGGGAGGTTCGGGGGTGGACAGAACCCCCTTCAGTAAAACGTGGCTTCGCGAAAACGGTCTCGGGCCCAGACCTGGCGGGCGCAAGCCTGGAAAATGACGGCCGCGGCGCCCTCTCGAGAACTGAAAACGGACAATTCACCAATCGACGTGTCAGGGTGGGGGTTCTGTCCACCCCCGAGGGGTGGCCCAAAAGGCGGGTGAAGAAACCGGCCCTAAAGGGGCCCGTTAGGGCCCCTTTTGGAGCCGGCGGGGACCCAAAATGGGCCCTCAAGGGCCCCTTTCTTCACCCCCCAGTTGGGTCACCCCCCGTTACCACACGCCCGATAACCCTGGCATGGCTCCCCCTCCGGCAGACAACGACGGCGACGACCACGACGACGACGACCACGACGACGACGACAGGTGCGAGCACGACCACGACGCCGACGACAGCGCCGACGCCAACGACGACGAGGACGACGGTCCACACTCGACCCTCCAGACTCGTGCTGGAGCATGTTTTGATCAGGATCATCTCAATGGGAATGCGGCCGTGCAGACAAGGCCGCCCCCTCTTCGGAGGCTCCAGAGATGCTGAAATCATCATCATGCGGAAGCGCGCGAGTGCACGAGGGAACAAATGCACGATCGAACCAACGTACAGACCAGCTCACAGACCAACAGACGGCCCATGACGAGATCTGCCCCTTGCCCAATCCTGAAGCGCAGTCTTTCTGTGGCACCAGGCCCCCCCCCAACATGATTCGACCATCGTACCCATCGGTCGGAAGAAGTGGGTAGAAACATGAAGTAGGAAGGCGTTGGAAATAGATCGGGTTTCCGCCCCGCCTCCTGAAGAGGAGGGGAGAGGGAAAACCACTCGACTCTTGAAGTAGGAAGGCGCTGAAAGTAGATTGGAATCTGGGAATCCAAAAATACCTACTTTCAACGACCGAGGGGTCATGTGGAAACGTGCGAACGAACGAACGCCAACGACGACGGCGACGAGCGCGGCGGCAGCGACCGCGGCGGCGACGGCGACGCTCCCGGCAGAGCTTCGTGAAGCCCCGGCGGTCGATGTCCGGCTGGGTGCCGCAGTAGGCGCCGAAGGCCTCGCCGCGCGGGAGGGAGGCGACAAGGGAGCGGAGGGAGGCAAGGAGGAGGAGGGAAGGGCGAAGGAGGCAGACGGGGGAGGAGAGGGGGGGAGGGCCAGAGTGGAGGGCACGGGGGGGAGGGCAGAAGGGGGAGGGATGACGAGGCGAGGGAAGAGGAGCGAGGGAGGCGAAGACAGGACCAAGGAGTGGAGGTCGGCAGGAGGCGCCGCCTCGCCCTCGAGCGTCTCTCGCGAAGCGGTGCAGTCAGAGCCTGCTTCCGGCGCCGCGCCTCCCTCCGCGCCTCGCTCTCCCTCCCCGCTCCTCGCTCCTCCCTCCCCGCTCCCCGAGCCTCCTCCCTCCCCGGTCCTCTCACCTCCCGCCCTCCTCCGTCCCCGCTCCCCCTTCCCTCCCTCCCTCCTTCCCTCCTCCGCCCCCGCCTCCCTCCTCCCGCCTTCCCAGCGCCTCCCTGCTCGCGTCCCCTCCCTCCGCCCTGCCGTTCTCCTCTTCCTGCGTTCTGCTCCCAAAAAACAAAAATTCAAACAAAAAAACAAAAAAAACAATCCTCGTCCCTCTTCCTCCCTGCGGGGGGCTCCTGGCGCCTGCCCCGGGGCCTCCCGGCTGCCAACCCCCGCCTGGCAGGCGGCGGCGACGGTGCCGGCGGCGGCGACCAAGGCGGCGACGGCGACGACGGTGACGGCGGCGACGACGACGACGGCGACGGCGACGAGAGCGACGACGAGAGCGACGACGAGAGCGACGACGAGAGCGACGACGAGGACAACGACGACGACGACACGGCGGCGGCGGCCTCGCGCACGGCGTCCCGCCGCGGCGGCGTGCGGCGGGCGCCGAGGGGCTCGGGCTCCGCCCTCGTGAGGGGGTACGGCGCGGAGGCCTGGCGCTGCAGGGCCTGCCGCCGCGGAGTGGGGGGCGTCGCCGTCGCCGTCGCCGCCGCGGCGAGGGCGGCAGCCGCGGCCGCAGCCGCAAACACTGGCCGAGGCCGCGGCAGCCGTGGCCGCACCAGCAGCAGCTGGCCATCGCTCGGACGTCCATTTCCTGTGTTTTTTTCTGTTTCGTGCGTGGCTGTTTCACCAAATTATCAGGGATGCTCCTGAATAGTCCTCGCCGAAGGAAAAATGCACGCGTCCGAGCGATGCCAAGGCAGCAGCCGCGACACCAGCAGCCGCCGAGGCTGCGGCAGTGGCCGCGGCAGCCGCCGCGGCAGCGGCCGCGGCAGCAGCCGGAGCGGCGGGGGCAGCGGCAGGCGCCGCGCGCGCGGGGCAGCGGGCGCGGCGGCGGCCGCGGGGGGGCGGGGCGCGGCCCTGGAGCCCGGGCGGCTGCGGCTGGGCGCCGCCCCGGAGGCCGGGCGGGGCGCGCTGGGCGGCTGCAGGGCCGCCTTGAGCACGGCCTGCGGTGCGGGGCGGCGTCCTCGCTCTTGCCGTCGCCAACTTCATGCTGGGCTGTCGTCGTCGCCGTCGCCGTCGCCGTCGCCGCCGCCGCCGCCGTGGCCCTCGCCGTCGCCGCCGCCGCCGCCGCCCCGCGCCCTCGGGTGGTAGTCACCGTCGTCACCGCCGCTGCGACGCGCCGACGCCGCAGACGCCCACCGTCGTGGTCGTCGTCGGGGTCGTCGGAGTGGTCGTGGTTGTGGCCTGCGTCGCCCATGGTCTCGCTCTGGTCTGATCCCAGCGGGTGGGGAAGACGACGAGGGAGGAAGGAACGAGGCGAAGGAGGAAAGAAAAGAAGAGCGATTGGGGAGAGCGCGCCCGGCTCCTTGGCTCGGCGCGTGAGCCAGTTGCCTGGAGGCAGAGGAGGAGGACGAGGAGGCAAGGGGAGCAAGAGGAGGAGGAAGAGGATGCAAGAGGAGCGAAATGGGAACCAAGATTCAGTCGGGCCTGTCCCCCTACAGGCCGATCTTGGACGGAAAATTAGAAATACCCTCCCAAATACCCTCCAAATGCTCAAAAATGGTCAAACAATGATCCCCAGACTTTTTTCACTATGTTTGATTGTTCCCCCTGTAGAGGGACAGGCCCGACATAAAACCAAAATGGATGAGGGATGGGAAGCAACGCGCCCCCCGGGCGAAGCGCCGCGCGCGCGTCGAGGCGCCCCCTCTCGGGTGCCTTTCGCGTGCGGCCGCGGAGAAAGAGAGAGGGAGAACGGGGGGACGGGTCATGGAAGAGCAGGAGGAGGAGGAGGAGGAGGAGGAGGAGGCGGAGGAGGAGGAGGAGGAGGAGGAGGAGGAGGAGGAGGAGGAGGAGGGGGAGGAGGGAGGAGGGAGGAGAGCGAGGAGGGGGACGTGGAACGGTGGGAAAGCGCGCTCGGATTGGAGCACACGCCGGTCGGAAGAGGTGGGTAACAACGTGAAGCAGGAAGGTGCTGGAAGTAGATTGGGGGACGTGGCGAGGGGAAGAGGAGCGAGGGGGGGGACGTGGAGAAGGATAAGAGGAGCGAGGAGAAGAGAACCGCCGCTCCAGGCCAGAGTGGGGCGTTGAGCCGCCAGGTCTGCCGCAAGATCGGGGGCGACGCTCTCAAGCGACTTCCCGCGGCGCCTCGAGCACCGAGCAAAACCGTCTCTGGGAGGCCGCAACGGTGGGAAAACACTTTTTGATTCGCGGGTCGAGATCGCACCTCTTCCGGTCGAAGCTAAGCAGGCCGCGCGAAGCTTGAATTTTCAGAGAAGGGGGAGGAAAAGGGGGGCGCAGCCTCAGAACAAGGCCGGGAGGAGGCAAAAACTCGGGATCAGGCGGTGCCGCAGTCGACGTACTTGCAAAGGAGCGCCTTTTCCGTGAACCCGGTGGCGGAGTACAAAGAAAACGCGCTCGGACTGAAGCACACGCCGGTCGGAAGAAGTGGGTCAACACGTGAAGCAGGAAGGTGCTGGAAGCAGATTGGGTTCCCGCCCGCCAGCCCGAAGAGGAGGAAATCAGGAGCAGGGGCGATCCTGGAAGCAATAGGAAGGCGCCAAAAGTAGGTTGGGACCTGGGAGTCCAACCGTACCTACTTTCAACGACCGATGGGTAGTAGTCGATTCGCCGTAGGGTTATCGGGCCTGTCCCCCTCTTGGCTGATTTTGGACGAAACATACACCAAAAATTACACTGAAAATGTTCAACAAATAATCGAAACATGCCCCCACATGGTCAAACCATGCTCAAAAAAATCCCCATACTATTTCCCAACCATCCTGTGGTGTTGGGTCCTCGTTTTGAAGAGACGGTGCCCCGCGTCTCCTTCCTTCCTTCCTCCTCCCCCTCCTGCCTCCTCCCCCATCCTGGGTTTTGCTCTCCGCATGTCTCTGTTTCGGCACACCCCTCACACGCTTCGTGGCCCCATAGGGAGCTCCACCTAAGATCCCAGTGGCGGAACTCGCATGGCGCCGCCGCCCCATTTTGGCACACCCTTCACACGCTTCGTGGCCCCATAAGGAGCTCCACCTAAGGTCCCAGTGGCGGAACTCGCATGGCGCCGCCGCCCCAATTTGGCACACCCCTCACACGTTTCGTGGCCCCATAGGGAGCTCCACCTAAGGTCCCAGTTGCGAAACTCGCATGGCGCCGCCGCCCCATTTTGGCACACCCCTCACACGTTTCGTGGCCCCATAGGGAGCTCCACCTAAGGTCCCAGTGGCGGAACTCGCATGGCGCCGCCGCCCCATTTTGGCACACCCCTCACACGTTTCGTGGCCCCATAGGGAGCTCCACCTAAGGTCCCAGTGGCGGAACTCGCATGGCGCCGCCGCCCCATTTTGGCACACCCCTCACACGTTTCGTGGCCCCATAGGGAGCTCCACCCCAGGTCCCGGTGGCGGAACTCGCATGGCGCCGCCGCCCCATTTTGGCACACCCCTCACACGTTTCGTGGCCCCATAGGGAGCTCCACCGAAGGTCCCAGTGGCGGAACTCGCATGGCGCCGCCGCCCCATTTTGGCACACCCCTCACACGCTTTCGTGGCCCCATGGGGAGCTCCACCTAAGGGTGGCGGAACTCGCATGGCCCGCCGCCCCACACACCCCTCACACGTTTCGTGGCCCCATAGGGAGCTCCACCTAAGGTCCCAGTGGCGGAACTCGCATGGCCCGCCGCCCCATCACACCCACACGTTTCGTGGCCCCTAGGGAGCTCCAGGGAGGTTTACGTGGCCCCATAGGGCGGATGCCGCCGCCCCCCACACACCCCTCACACGCGTGGCCCCATAGGGAGCGCGGAACTCGCATGGCGCCGCCGCCCCATTTTGGCACACCCCCTCACACGTTTCGTGGCCCCATAGGGAGCTCCACTAAGGCCCAGGCGCGAACTCGCATGGCGCCGCCGCCCCATTTTGGCACACCCCTCACACGTTTTGTGGCCCCATCCCAGTGGGAGCTTTTGGCACACCCCTCACACCTTCGATGGAGCTCCACCGTCCCAGTGCGGAACTCGCATGGCGCCGCCGCCCCATTTGGCACATCCCTCACACGCTTCGTGGCCCCATGGGGAGCTCCACCGAAGGTCCCAGTGGCGGAACTCGCATGGCGCCGCCGCCCCATTTGGCACATCCCTCACACGCTTCGTGGCCCCATAGGGAGCTCCATCTAAGGTCCCAGTGGTGGAACTCGCATGGCGCGAAGGCGACAAGGCGAGGGAACAGCGCTCTGGGGCAGTTTACGGCCAGACCTGCTGGGCGCGAGCAGTCCGCAGCCAGACCTCCTCTCGGTCTGTGGACTCTCGCCCTGGGCCGTCGGCTGCCCGGCGCGCTGCTCCCTCGGCCGACATCGCCCAGGCGTGATCCTGGACTGCGGCCGCCACGAAGTGGGGAACGGCAAGAAGGAGGACGACGACTGGTGGCTGGAGCTCTACGTCCTGCTCTCGCGCGCCACGCGCCACGAGGACCTCCTGCTCATGCGGGCGCCGCGCATCGAGTTCTTCCTGGCAGGGCCGCCGGAGGGCTTGCGGAAGCAGCTGGAGCAGTTTGCGGCGCGCACGAAGCGGTGCAGAAGGGAGGCGACGGCCCTCGCCAGGGAGATGGGCTTCACCGAGTTTATCCGCGAGGCTTGACCTGAGGAGCGGCCCGCCCGAGACTCGCCGTCTCTCGACGGTCTGACTGTTTGGCCTCGCGCCGCGGGCGATCCGCGCGCGTCGCTGGGGCCCTCTCGGGGCGACCGGCGCGCGTCGCGGGAATTCCGCGCTGCGCTCTGCCCAGAGCCTCGCTCGCCCCCGTCGTCGCTCTGCCCAACGGCCACAGTCTTGCCCGCTATCACCCAGCCAGCTAGCACTCTCTCTGCTCCGCGCAGCGGACGACCCGCGCGCGTCGCCGGGACCCCTTCGGGGCGACCAGCGTGCGTGGCGGGGACTCAGTGCGGCGCCGCGCCCGCAGCCATGGACATCGGCGTGCGCGGGCAAAGAGGCAGAAAAAGAAGGGGAAGGAAGCGGGCGCGATCCTCGTGAGGGGCGTGCCGACATGGGCGTCGACATTGATGCACGTAGACTGATTCGCACGCAGACACATTCACAATCAAACTTACTCGCGCTCAGGCTCACCCGGTCTCAGTCTCGCGCACTCAGAGCGATCGTATTTGTTCGTATTGGGGGCCCCGCCACGCATGTCGGCACGCCCCCTCACACGGTTCGTGGCCCCATAGGGAGCGCGAGCGAAGATGATATCCACAATCGCGGTATTCACAACTGCGTATGGTTGGGTCCTTCGCCAGGCTAATTTTTTTTTTTGTTTTACTATTTTTGGATTTCCCCCCCGTGGAGGGGCAGGCCCGACTTAAGGGTAGTAGTCGATGCGCCGTAGGGCCTGGGCCAGGCGGGGGAGGTCCGGCGGCGCGCACGAAGGTGGTGGCGAGGAGGGGGGGGCGGGGGGCGGTCTTCCTGGAGGGCGGGCGGCGCGGGCGGTCTCCTGGCAACCCCTCCTCCTCCTCCTCCTCCGCCTCCTCCTCCTCCTCCTCCTCCCCGCCTCCTCCTCCTCCTCCCCTCCTCCTCCGCCTCTCTTCCTCTCCTCCTCCTCCTCCTCACTCCTCCTCCTCCTCCTCCTCCTCCGCCTCTCGCCCCCCCCCCAGAGAAACCAGGGCCAGGATAATCCCACAGCCTTTAGGGCGTCGGTGGTTTAACGAGTTTCCTCTTCCACCCCTCCTTCTTCCCCTTCGGGGAGGGGTTTACCCCTCCCCCTACCCCCTCCCCGCTGACCTGGACAGGAGGGGCGGGGAGCGGTCAGAGCGTCCAAAACGGCCTCGGCGAGGAAGCCAAAAACATTGATTTTACTATGGTTTTGGCCCCATTTTGGCCTTCTCAGGGGGCAACGCTAATTAAGGCTCCCCTCTTCTTTGATCGATTTCCTCCACGATGGCCGCAAGAGGCCCCCAGGATGCCCCAAGAGGCCGCAGGATGGCCCCAAGATGGCCCCAAGAGGCCCCCCAAGAGGCCCCCAGGAGGCCCCCAAGAGACCCCCAAGAGGCCCCAAGATGGCCCCAAGAGGCCCCAAGAGGCCCCCAGGAGGCCCCAAAGAGGATCCCGAACGGCCCACGGAGGCCCCCCCGAGGCACCCAAGACGCCGAAAAGCCCCTCAGGACACGACCCTCTACTCGCCTGGGCGTCGTTTCTGGACGGGCTGGTGGGGATACGCGAAGCGTCTAGAATTTCGAGTGAGGATCCAGGAGCAGTTGCCTCGGGGCCTCCGCACGCTTCTGATAGAGGGCCCAGGGGCACACGCGGGCACATCGGCACGGATCCTGGGACCTCCCATGCTGCTACATATTTCCTGGACTTGGTTTCTGCCCCCATGTAGACTTGAAATATACATGCATACAGAATTCCATACATCCATCCATCCATCCATCCATCCATGCAGGCATGCATGCATGCATGCATGCATGCATGCATACATACAGACAGACACACACACACACATCCATCCAACACACACACATCCATCCCTCCCTCCATCCATCCATCCATCCATCCATTCATGCATGCATGCATGCATGAATGCACACATCCATAGTTCTTCGAACATGGAAACTTATATGTGTCGATGTCTATTTCCCGGGGGTGGTCCCAGGGAGGCTGTCCCGGGTCAGAACTTCACCCTCCCAGGGGCCGTGGCCCGCCCTCTCCCTCCCTTTCTCCGTCGAGGGTCGAGGCCTCCGGGGTCGGCCTTTCCGGCCGCAAGGCCTTAGCAATAATTATCCCAGTGCGACCCTACCTAGGAGTTGGAGCCCCTAGGAAACCAGCACTAGTAGTAACTGTAAGGCTGAGCTAAAGCTAAGCTAAAGCTAAGCTTTAGCTAAAGCTAAGCTAAAGCTAAGCTACATATAAGCTAAAGCTGAGCTAAAGCTGAGCTAAAGCTAAGCTAACGTTAAGCTAAAGCTGAGCTAAAGCTAAGCTAAAGCTAAGCTAACGCTAAGCTAAAGCTAACGCTGAGCTACAGCTGAGCTAAAGCTAAGCTAAATCTGAACTAAAGCTGAGCTAAAGCTAAGCTAAGGCTAAGCTAAAGCTGAGCTACAGCTGAGCTAAAGCTGAGCTAAAGCTGAGCTAAAGCTGAGCTAAAACTAAAGCTAAAACTCCCAGGGGACTGGGGGAACCGCGGGGCGGATGCCGGGGGAACCGCCCGGGGGCGAGCCCCACTGCCCGGCCCCTTTAAGCTGATAAAGTAAGAACCCTACCTAGGCAGAGACTGGGTAGGGAACAACTTATGTGTGTCGATGCCTATGAACTGCCGGTTTCCGGGGAGCCTCCCGCCTTTCAGAGGGCCCGCCCCCTCGCACCACGCCGCGCCAACAAGGGGAGGGGGGAGGCGGCCCTCCCCTACCCCCGGGGGGGACACGGCAGGGGGGGGGGGCGGCCAGCTCGGGGGGGAGGGGGGGCAAACGTCGACGAGGCATCGGCGAGACATCGACACAAACCGACGCACAACCTCGGATTTCCCGCATGGCTGCATATTTCCTGGATTCGTTTCTTCCCCCCCCAGCATTTCCGATACATGTCCCCGTGGCTTTGCGAACATCAGCAGGTAGAGTCAGGTTCGTCGGTGCTGATTTCCCTTTTCTGATCTGAGAAGGCAGCTTGTTTCCGGGGAGCCCTCTTGCACCACGCGCCGCCAACAAGGGGGGGGGGCCAGCTCAGGGAGGCAGACGTCGACGTGGCATCGGCGAGACATCGCCGGCGCATCGGCGGCAGGCCCCCGATCGCGGAACGCCGCGCGTTCCTGGGCGGGGTGGGCCCGCAGCCCCCTCTCGGCGATGACGGGGCTGGCCCCCCCCCCCGAACGCGCCCCCGACAACCGCAGCCCAGCATGGCCCCCCATCGGGGGTGAACAGCGGGCGATCGGGGGTCGATGCGCCCCCCTCTGACAGCCTGTCCCCCCCCCTCCCCTGACGTTGTCCTTCACTCTCCCCGGTAGCCCGGCATGGCCCCCCAGCCTCCACGCTCTGCTCCTCGTCCAGGCCGTCGGCGTGCTGTCGGGGGGCGGGCGCCCAGGCATCGTCAAGGACGCACCCGAGGAGGGAAGGAAATTCAAGGGACGGGGAAGGGACGGGACTTCCCGAGGAGGGAAGAGAAGGGACCTCCATCCTCCCTCGTTTTCCTCCATTCGAAGCTCTGTGAACCTGGCCATGCAAGCACACAGCTAGGCCGACAAAGAGCAACGCATGCTGTGTCATTGACGAATCAGAAAGACTCGAGGCTTGCTTCTCGCACTCGCCAGAGCGCACACATCTTCGAACGTAGGAGCAGCATGAACGTAGCCGCGGCCACCGCGGAGAACTGCTGAAGCACCACTCACAAACGAAGTGTGCAACAAACCTCGAGGCTTGCTCCTCGTACCAACATCGGGCGTTGGCAGAACTGGGTCCAGTGGAACCTGGTTTAGTGATCTGTACCGGGGGCGCCCCCCCATCCCATTTCCACTAACCGTCACCCGAAATTATCCCAGTGCGACCCTACCTAGGAGTTGGACCCCCTAGGAAAGCAGCATTAGTAGTAACAGTAACGCTAAGCTGAACCTAAGCTAAAGCTAAGCCAAAGCTAAGCTAAAGCTAAGCTAAAACTAAGCTAAATCTAAGCTAAAGCTAAGCTAAAGCTGAGCTAAAGCTGAGCTAACGCTAAGCTAAAGCTAAGCTACAGCTAAGCTACAGCTAAGCTAAAACCAAGCGAAAAGCTAAGCGAAACGCTAAGCTAAAGCTAAGCTACAGCTAAGCTACAGCTAAGCTAAAGCTAAGCTAAAGCTAAGCTAACGCTAGGCTAAACGCTAAGCGAAAAGCTAAGCGAAACGCTAAGCTACAGCTAAGCTAAAGCTAAGCTAAAGCTAAGCTAAAGCTAAAGCTAAAGCTAAAGCTAAAACTCCCAGGGGACTGGGGGGAACCGCTCCCAAGGGACTGGGGGAACCGCCCGGGGCGTGTTCCACTGCCCGGCCCTTTAAACTAAGAGAGTAAGAACCCTTCGAGGCAGAGCCTAGGTAGGGAAAAACACCAGCTATGGCAAACCTGGTTTAGTGATTTTGGCCAATTCGAAGGCTCCGGGGCCCTACCACTAACCGGGTCCCCTTACCTGGGGTCCTGGCCATAGCCGACAACAGAAGCGCATTAACCCGCGAAGGTAGGAGCCGGACGATCCTCGCCGCGGTCACCACGGGGTGCTGCTGAGACAAAACGCAAACGCACACGAGCTGCTAAGGCAGCATGTGCGGAACCCCAGACTCTAGAGCAAGGATGACTATGCTGAAGATGAGGATTAAGAGGACGGGGGGGTGAATCTTACGATGACGATAATGATGATGATGCTGATGCTGCTGATGATGATGATGATGGTGATGCTGATGATGCTGATGATGATGCTGATGCGAATCATGATAATGGTAATGATGATGAAGATGGTGATGACGATGATGACGATGATAATGCTGATGACGACGATGATTGTGATGATGTTGATGATGCTGATGATGCTGCTGATGATGCTGATGATGATGATGACGATGGCGTTGGCGATGCTGGTGATGATTGTGATGGTAAAGAGGATGCTGATGCGGGTGATGTTGATGGCGATGTTTTCGAGCGTTTTCGTATGAGTTTTCGGGGGCGTTCTATCTAACCATACGCTCTACCCAGAGGTATCAGACGCACGACTTATACCCAAGTAAGGAAGAAGTGCCGAGAAGCAGACAGGACACATAGAGGGATCCTCAACAACATTACAAAGGGCATGCGGCGGCAGGTCCAACGGGGGGGCAGGTGACGGCTCCTGGGACAGCTTCCCCCCTCCCGCCTCGTGACTCTCCTCCCCGTCCAGGTCTTCGTCCTCGCCCCACTCCTCCCACTTGGTGGTGCGCAGAAGGGGGTGGAGGGAGGGGGGATGGCTTCTTAGAAGCACCCCTGCTTCTTAGAAGGCGCCTGCCTTACATCTATATATGTATGTGTGTATATATATAGATATATATATATAAGGCACGCGCCTTCTAAGAAACAGGGGTGCTTCTACGAAGTCCTCCCCCCTCCCCCCACTGCGCGTGGCCGATCCTCCCACCACCCGCGCCATCGACCCTGCGGGCTCCGCCGAGGGCTCGCGCCGCGCGGTGGCGATGGGCGGCGGGCGGGCGCAGCGAGGCGCTGGCAGCGTGGGCCCCGCTCGCGCGGGCGACGGCAGCGGGCGCTGCAGAGGGCGGCCAGCACGTTGCCGCAGCCTCCGCGGCCGCCCTGTGCCACGGGCCCAGGGCCACCCTCAAGTCGGGCCTGTCCCCCCACAGGCGGATTTTGGGCGAAAGATTTAAAGTACTCCACAAATGCCGCCAGATAATGTAGACATGATCAAACAACATCTCCAGATGTTTTTTGACCATTTTTTGAATACTCCTTCTGTAGAGGGACAGGCCCGACTTAAGGCTACCCGCTCCGGAGCCACGCGACCCCGAGGCGGACGAGGGGGGGGGCCAACGCGAGGCGGCAGCTCGCGAGGGCGCACCTGGCGGCGCAAGCGGCGGTGGGCCGAGCAGGGGCCGACCGTCCCGGCATTCCTGTAGTCCTACCACGAAATGTTCTTAGAGCCCAAACATGTTCTACGAAGAATAACAATGTTCTTATAACAAGGACACGATGTGCTAAAACAAGACAGTCTCAACCATACATGTTCTAAGAGCATGTCGTGGAAACCACAACATGTTCTTAGAACATTGCCTGGAGGGGTTGTAGGCGAGCCAGGACGCTTCGCCACTGCTTGAGAGACACGGGCCCCCGACCTCTCGACCACTTCCCAGGGAACAGCTTTTCACTGCAAGCCGTTTTTTGACGGCCCCGTGGCTACTTAAGGACCGCATCCCAGAAATAATTTCGAGCACCCAGAACAGTGTCAAACGAGTGTCGAAACGGTGTCGGGCGAGTGTCTCCCAGGGCCCGACCGACACGTGAACACCCTTGAGCTTCGGTGCTGGTTTTTTGGGCCGCTCGAAATTCTTCCTGGTGATCGAGGCTAAAGTAGGCTGGAGCATCATAACTCTCGATGTTTTCCGAGGCGCCGGGCGTCGGGGGTGCAGCCGTGCACGCGCGGGCGGCAGCGGAGCTTGCCGCAGCGGGGCCCGGCATGCCGACTTCGCGCCTGCCGCCCAGGCGCTGCTCGTCGCGGCGCGCGAGGCCGAGAGCCGCACCCGCGGCCCGAGGCGCGAGCCCAACGCGTCGGACGAGGAGCAGGCGGCGGCCGAGGAACGGAGTGGAACGGCACGCTCGTGCGGGCTTTCGCCCGGGCCCCTCGGGGGCGGAGCGCGCGAGGCCGGGGCCCCGCGTGAGAGGCCGCGAGCGTCGGCTGCCGGTGTCGCTTGGGTGCTGGCGGCCGAGGAGGATGGAAACGGATTTGCACATGATGTGAAGAACGCTGTTTCGTTTCTCCTGTCCCCCTGGAGGACGAAAAAACGGCATAGGCTTATGTCGGGCGTGTCCCCCTACAGGGGCATCTTCGACGAAAAGTTAAAAAATACACCGATAATACCATTAAAATGCCCAACAATGATCAACAAATCATCCCCAGACTATTGTTTATCTATTTTTGAATATTCCCTCTGTAGAGGGACACGCCCAACTTAAGCATAGGCAGAAACGTTTGGCGGTCCGTGCGGATTTCTTGGAGCTGAGCTGGAGCCCCCTCCCCGGCGCGCGGGGCGCGCTGGGGGGGCAGCGCCGGAGCTGCCGCGAGGGGCGCCCCACGGCGATTCAAGAAATCCGCGCGGAGCGCCGAAGGCTTCTAAACTATGCCGCGTTTCGTCTTCAATCCTCGCTGCATCAACTCAGGAAGGGGTCGCAAAATTCGGCGTCCTTTTTCTCGTTCTAATTCGGGCGCGGCCGCAAGAAACCCTCGCAAGAAACCCGGCCTTGAAAAGCCGCGCGCAGGGCAGATGTGAGGGGAAATCCAGCGCACCCTGAACGCACCAGCTTCTTCAACGGCCACGTGAAGTCACCGCGCAGCTCGCGGAGCGAAGAAACCCAGGATGCCCCGACGAAAAGATGGTTTCTGGATGCGCGCCCCCGCTGCACATCTGAGGAACAAGGTGGCACAGCTCGGCGTCCTGCCACACCTCCCGTGCTGGCTGCCCCTGGCCTACCGCCAGGAGGACAGCCTCGCGGACAGCGGGGGGGCAGCAGGGAGGACCACCCGGCAGAGAGCGCTAGGTTTAAGTCGGGCCTGTCCCCCTACAGGGGGATTTTCGACGAAAAATTAAACATACCCCGCAAAGAATCAAAAAATAATATGGGGACTATTTTTTGAATATTTTTTGACCTTTTTGGGCCATTTTTGGGGTATTTTCAATTTTTCGTCAAAACTCCCCCTGTAGGGGGACAGGCCCGACTTAACGCCAGCGACGTGGGCAGGGACGGGTGCAGGCATCCCGAGGTGGACTGCGCCCGCGTCGACTGCCCGACCGGCCTCGCGAGGGCGGGCTGGGCGCAGAGGGTGGAGTCAAAGCTCATTGCCATCAGCCCTGTGGAGGCCTCGCAGCATGCAGCGCAGTGGCTAGGGCTAGAGCATCGCGCCGACGAGAAGACCTTCGTGAAATCTCCCTCCCGAAGCTCGAGGAACTCGGGAGGAGCTCTCGTTTGTTCCCATGTCATGAAGCTTTCAGTCGGGCCCGTCCCTCTACAGGGGGAATATTCAAAAATAATGAACAAAATAGTCTGGGGACTATGTTTTTAATATTTGTTGGGCATCTTTTGGGTATGCTTTGGATCTTTTTTCGTCGAAAATCCCCCTGTAGGGGGACAGCCCCGACCTAAATGTAGCTGCTACCATCATGGTCATAGAGTCATTGAGTCCGCCCCACACGCAACACTTTTTTTGATCCGCGGGTCGAGAGCGAGCCTCTTCTGGTCGAAGCTAAGCGGGCCGCGCACAGCTTTAATTAACAGAGGAAGGAAAACAGAAAGAGGGGCCTCGACCCCACACGCAACACAGAGGTGGTGGCCAGCGGGCGCGGCGGGAGGCTCGTGGCCTGGCCTCCCCTGGATGCACGGCCCTCAAGCGCAACTTTCCTGGCCTGGTGGTGCCTGGCCGCTCCCGGGGGTTCGCCCTCGATTTCGGGGGGGGGGGGGGGGGGGGGTGTGGGTATTTGTGCGGGCGGCTGGTATAGCGGTCCCGCTCCAAGAATCGCGTGCAGCGCAGCCATTCGAAGAAACAACGCTGTGAACATACACTGTTGGCGCTCCGCGCGGAATTTCCTTGGACCCCGCGCGGGACCTCCTCCCTGGCGCGCGGAGCGCGCCAGGGGCGGCGCCGAGGCGCCGCTCCGGGGGGGGGCCCAGCGCGGATTCAAGAAATCCGCGCGGAGCGCCCAAATTTTATGTTCATGGCGCTTCTCCTTCTTCGAACCACTCGAGCCTCGCAAACCCTTGGGGAGCGGCCGGATGGCCTGGCACACGGCAGCCAAGGCGGTGAGGCCGAAGGAACGGCGAGGCTTATGTTGCCCCCGTGGTACTTAAGGACCACATCCCAGAATAATTTCGAGCGCCCGGAATCGTGTCGAAGAAGTGTCGAAACAGTGTCGGACGAGTGTCTCCCAGGGCCCGACACATGCACACCTTTTTAGTCATCCCTCGGTACTTTTTGGTGGGCACGTAAATTCTTCTTTCTCGTGTTCAAGTCTAAAGTAGTTGGAAAAACAGAATGGGCGTTGCAGAACTGGGTTTACAATAAATAAAAAATAAAAAATAAAATAAAAAAAAAAAAAAAGCAATAAAAAAAAAAAAAATAAAAAAAAATAAAAACGAAAAAATAATAAAAATAAAAAATAAAAAATCAAAAATTCAAAAAACAATGCTACAAAATAAAAAAAAAAAAAAAAAAAAAAAAAATAAAAAAAAAGTGGAACCTGGTTCAAAGATCTGTACCGGGGGCCCCCCCCCGTCCCATTTCCACTAACCGGAACTGCCGCCACCCGAAAACGCCAGCTATGGCAAACCTGGCTTAGTGATCCTGGCCAATTCGAAGGCTCCGGGGCCCCACCACTAACCGGGTCCCCTTACCTGGGGTCCTGGCCATACCCGACATAATCAGGCGAGGCCAACAGCTCTGCCGCGCCGCCGCCCACGAAGGGGCTCTCCACGCGCCAGCGGCCCCGCGGCACCACGCCGGCATGCTGGCACGCCGCGCTCGCGGGGGCCCCGGTGCCCGCTGGCGGGCTGCGGCGGCCCGGGACAGAGCGCGGCGCCGCCGGCGTCCGGCGAGCCCCGGTGGCACAAGGCTTCCCCTCCGTCCTCCGGCTGCCCCTCCCCCCCACCAATGTCGTGCTCCTGCTCGTCCCGGCCTCCTCTTCCTTCCTGCTCCTTCCTCCCACTTCCGCGACATCCTTCGCCTCCGTCGCACCAGGTCCAAGGGGCCCTCAATGACGCCCAGGGGAAGCCAAGGAAACACAAACACAACAACTGACCTCCTCGTCAACATCAACCTCGTCCTCGTCGGATCGCCTCCTCTTTCCTCCTTCATCCGTCCTCCGTCCTCCTGCTCCTCCTCCTCCTCATTCCCCCGTTCCTCATCTCACTCCCTCCATTCCTCCCTCCCCCCTTCCTCCTCCTGCTTCTGCTCCTCCTACCTCCTCCACCCTCCCTCCTGCATCTCGTCCTTACTCATCCTCCCTCCTCGTCCTCCTTGTTCCTCCTCATCCACCCTCTGTCCGTCATCATCCTCCCTTCTCCACCACCCGCCTCCTTCATCCTGCTCCCTTCACCTTTCTCACTCATCCTCGTACCGCGTTGGCGACGACTGCGATAACGGCAGCCACGACGACGACGACGACGACGACGACGACGACGACGACGACGACGACGACGCAACGAGAACCACAACGATCCCGACGAGGCTCTACGACAGCGCCGACGCTGCGAGGACGTCGACGACGACGCCGTCGGGCCACGACCGACGCACACGACGACCGACGCACACGACGACTACGACGACCGCCACCACGACCGGCGACGACGACATCGCAAACGGCGTCCTCACGGATGGCGGCGGCCAAGGGCAGCGTCGGCACCAGAACCGGCGCGGACGCCACCCTCCGCTCCACGCCCGGGGACGCCGCGTCGCGCGGATGATGGCCGCCGCCGCCGCCGCCGAAGGCTACATCGCCAGCCAACCCAAATCTAGGATGACACCGATACCATGATGCGGTCTGGGGGGGAATCCTCCTATCCCTCCTCCCCCTCCTCCCCCACACTCCCCCACTCCCCTCCTCCCCCTCCTTCTCCCCCTCCACCTTCCTCCTCCACGCCCTCGCACCTCGTCTCCATCTCCTCCTCCCCTCCTCCTCCTCTCCTCCTCCACCTCCCCCTCTTTCCTCCCCTCCTCCTCGTCTCCCATCCTCCCCCTCCCTCCTCCGCCCCTCCTCCTCCTCCTCCTCCTCTCCTCCTCCTCCTTCCTCTCCTCCTCCTCCTCCCCCCTTCTACTTCCTCCTTACCTCCACCTCCTCCTCCTCCTCCTCCTCCTCCTCCTCCTCCTCCTCCTACCATCCTCCACTCCCCTCCTCCTCCCTCCTCCCCTCGCTCCTCTTCCTCCTCCTCCTCCTCGCTCCTCCTCCTCCTCCTTCCTCCTCCTCTCCATCCTCCCCCTTCCTCTCCTCCGTCCTCCTCCTCCTTCCCACCCTCCTCCTCCTCCTCCTCCTTCCCACCTCCTCCACCCTCCTCCTCTAGCTCCTCCTCCTCTAGCTCCTCCTCCTCCTCCTCCTTCTCCTCCTCCTCCTTCTCCTCCTCCTCCTCACGTCACCCTCTCCTGGGAGGGGGGTCCCGAAACCAACAGGACCACAAGGGCTCCAACGAGTGCTAGCGATCGTCGTCGTCATCACCATCGTCGTCTTCGCCGCCCCCCTTCAGGGTGGGCGGCACCAGCCAGTCGGCCTTCGCAATCTACGACGATGAAGATGCAAAGATGCGCTCGACCTAGGCTGCGCTCCAGGATTTTGATGTAATTACATAGCAGAAGGATCAAAGGCCGAACGGTCATTCACCGTCGCTGGGTGCGTGGCTGAAGTGGAATTCTGCGGTGCGGATTCTGCTTCTTGTTGCTTATTTTCGTCGTCCCACCCGCGACCCGCCCCGCGACCTGCCCGCGACCCGCCCCGCGACCCACCCGCGACCCACCCACGACCCACCCGCGACCCAACCCGCGCCCGCCCCCTCACTTGTATCCGCAAGCGCGGGGTGCTACATGTCTAGCGGCCCTCGTCTCTGCAGCCCGCACGAAGCAGCATGGAAACCTGGAAATGTCGAAGCGCATCATCATCATCACTTGCTCGCCTGAAAGATAGCGAGCCCACAAAGGACGTACGCGCCCAGTCACGTACATGATTTGGGTATGTCTGGGGGGGCAGCACTAAGTGGGGGCCCGAAACGCACCGCGCTCGACGTCCACACTAGCGCCCGCACTTGACGCACACACTTGCGCCCTACACTCGCACGCCCCACTCGCCCCTTGCGCTCGGCCCCCGTGCTCGACCCCCGAACTCGGCCCCCGCGCTATACGCCCACGCTCTACGCACACACCCACACCCCACACTCGCACTCCACACTCGCTCCTCGCGCTCGGCCCCCGCGCTCGACCCCCGCACTCGGCCCCCGCACTCTACGCCCACGCCTTGCGCACACACTCGCACTCCACATTCGCCTCTCGCACTCGACCCCCGCACTCGACCCCCGCACTCTACGCCCACGCTCTACGCACACACCCGCACCCCACACTCGCACTCCGCACTCGCCCCTCGCACTCGGCCCCCGCACTCGACCCCCGCATTCGGCCCCCGCACTCTAAACCCGCACTCTACGCACACACTCGCGCCCCACACTCGCACCCCACACTCGCCCCTCGCACTCGGCCCCCGCACAGGACCCCCACACATTGCCCCGCACTCTACGCCCACACTCTACGCACACACTCGCGCCCCACACTCGCACTCCACGCTCGCCCCTCGCACTCGGCCCCCGCGCTCGCCCCCCGCGCTCTACCCCCGCACTCCACGCCCACGCTGTACGCGCACATTCGCACCCCACACTCGCACCCCATGCTCGCGCCTCGCACTCGGCCCCCGCACTCTACGCCCACGCTCTACGCACGCACCCGCGACCCGCACTCGCACTTCACAATCGCCCCTCGCGCTCGGCCCCAGCGCTCGCCCCCCGCACTCGGCCCCCGCGCTCTACGCCCGCGCTCTAAGCGCACGCTCGCGCCCCACACTCGCACTCCACACTCGCCCCTCGCACGCAGCCCCCACACTCGCCACCCACGCTCGACCCCCGCGCTCTACGCCCACGCTCTACGCCCACGCTCTACGCACGCACTCGCGCCCCACACTCGCACTCCACACTCGCCCCTCGAGTTCGGCCCCCGCGCTCGCCCCCCGCGCTCGACCCCCGCACCCTACGCCCACGCTATACGCGCACACACTCGCGCCCCACACTCGCACTCCGCACTCGCCGTTCGCATTCGGCCAACGCACTCGCCCCCCACACTCGACCTCGGCACTCTACGCCCACGCTCGCACGTAGCACTCGCCACTCACACTCTGCCCCCGCGCTCGCCCCCTCCCCCCCCCCCCCCCCACCACCCACCACCATGCCCCCACCCCCCCACACTTCACAGCCAAGCCGCCCACACCGCACGAGCATCGTGGCCGCGTAAATCTCACGAACGTCGAACACGGCGCATTACTTCCGTATACCTCCTCCTCCTCCCTCCTCCTCCTCCTCCTCCTCCTCTCCCAACCGAAGAACCTCCCCCTCCCCCCCTCCTCCTCCTCCTCCCCCCCCCCCTCCTCCTCCTCCTCCTCCACCTCCTCCTCCTCCTCCCTCCTCCTCCTCTCCTCCTCCTCCTCCTCCTCCTCCTCCTCCTCCTCCTCCTCCCTCCTCCTCCCTCCTCCTCCTCCCCCCTCCTCCTCCTCCTCCTCATCCTCCTCCTCCTCCTCTCCTCGCTCCCCTCCTCCTCCTCCTCCTCCTTCTCATCCTCCTCCTCACTCCTCCTCAACTCCCCCTCCTCCTCCTCCTCCTTCCTCCTCACGGACATCCTTCCTCCCACCCCTCCTCCTCTCCTCCTTGCAGCTTCCAGCGACCCCCCACAGCCGGCGAGTGGTTTGAGGGGACGAAACTGCGAGAGGGAGGGCGAGGGGGAAGAGAAGAGCAGGGGGGCACGAGGAGACGAGGAGGGGGAGTAGGAGGAGAAGGGGGAGTCGGAGAATGAAGAGGATGAGGAGCAGGAGGAGGAAAATGGAGAAAATGATACACAAAAAAAAAAAAACAACGAAAAAAAAATAAAAAAAATAAAAAAAAAAAAAAACAATAAAAGAATAAATAAAAATAGCAGAGCAGGAGAAGAGGGTGGAGGACGAGGATGACGAGGAAGGCGAGGAGGACGGTGAGGAGGATCCGGAGCAGGATGGCGATTGTGACCGTGACCATGATGGATGGAAGGTAGGGGGCCGAATGCCCCCCTACCATCCATCTGATGAGGACGAGGAGGCGGATGAGGAGGAGGACGAGGATGAGGAGAAGCAGGACGAGGAGGAGGACGATGATGAGGAGGAACGGGGACGACGACGAGGAGGACGAGGCGGAGAAGGGGGACGAGGAGGACGACGAGTACGAGGAGGACGAGGAGGAGGAGGATGAGGAGGACGAGGCGATGGTGACCATGACCATGATGGACGGAAGGTAGGGGGCCGCACGCTCCCCTACCATCCATTTGATGAAGACGAGGAGGCGGATGAGGAAGAGGAGGGGGAGGACGAGAACGATGAGGAGGGCGGCGATGATGACGACAAGGACGAGTAGGAGGAGGAAGAGGGCGATGATGATGATGATGATGATGAGGAGGAGGAGGAGGAGGAGGAGGGGGAGGAGGAGGAAGACGAGGCGGAGGAGGAGGACGACGAGTACGAGGATGACAAGGAGGACGAGGAGGATGCGGATGAGGAGGACGAGACGATGGTGATCATGACCATGATGGACGGAAGGTAGGGAGCCGCACGCCTACCATGGAGGCGGATGAGGGCCGACAGGCGCGGCTTCGAGTGACGCAGAGCCGCCGAGAATCAAACGTCCTCCTATTGGTTGCGCCATAGGTTGCGCCTTCGGCCGCCGAAACGAAAACCGCTTCCTATTGGTGGCCCCATAGGTTGCGCCCTGGTTCGC